AAAAAATGGAGAAATAATTTTCCATGCTGCTCAAATCGCGCGTTTTCTTTATTTTGGATTTGGAATTGGATTAAAAATAATAAATTTTATAAGTTGGTCAAAATTGATTCATAAAAATTAGAATTTATATATAATAAATTCAAAGTACTTTATATAATATATACCAAATCTCTATAGTTTAACAATGAACAAATCATTGATTATATATAAGAGATTAAAGTAACCAGTATTTTATCTTGATAAGAAAAATAGCCTAATTACAAGTGTATTTGTAATTTGCCAAATGCACAAGAATTCACCGTCTATTCCACAATATGCTCCAATTGCATAGGTGCATTAAATGTTTTTACAATTACACACATATATATAAAATGTTTGAGGTAATTGTATTACGAAAAATATACAGCTTATACCATGAAAAACGAAAGTTTTTCATAGCAATTAAATAAATCGTTTAAAGGATTAAAAAGATATCATGATCTTTATATAGATCATGAATTACAATTATAGTACATGTACACGATTAATTATACATAAAAAATGTCAAATTGCTGATAATAGAGAAATATACAAGTTACAAACTATAAAGTTGTTCGATTGTTGGTAAATATTTTGACTGTTATTTAATGCAATGAATTTACTAATATTTAATTTAATTTTATATATTCTTATTCTTTTCCTTTATTATATCAATTTTTATTATTTAATGATTTGATAAAATTGATTGAAAAATATATATACAATATCATAATACATCAATAATTATTCTCATAAAAATTATCTTTTTATAATTGATTTATTGAAAAAATGCAGTAAAATATATTAGAATTTTTTATATTATTGTACATTATATACACTATAAACATTACATTGAAATATACATTGAATGAAAATAAGAATTACGCATTATACATTTTAATGCTACTTGATGCAGATTTGATTGTACTAATTTGAATTATATTATTATTTTTGTTTAATAAAATATATATAAAATATAGTTCATTGCTATAAATTTATATTCCATATTTTTATCTTTTTATGATTCTTATATCATTAAATTATATAAAAAATTATACTTACAAATTGGATAAACTGTAGAAAAAATTGATTGCGAATAAATTAATTAAAACTTACATATTTATTATTACTTTATTATATTCTTTTCCATTGTTCTTAAAACATTAATTTTGTTTATAGATTCGTTTAAAAATTTTTTTTGTTCAAATGTATCACTATCTTTTTTAATATCATCAAGTTTAGTTGATTTTATAATTTCATAATTGTATATATGGTCTATCTCTGTCGATTTCAATGATGTCAAATTAATTAATTCTATAAGAGCATTCCTTTCATTTGATTCTACTAATATTTGCAATGCTTTTTGAAAGTGGTCTATCAAACGCGTTAATTCAAATATCGTGATATTTTTACTAACATTTAATGTTGCGTCAAATGGATTATAAATATAAAGCGGTGATAAATCTTGTTTCGGTTTGAGTTTTCCTTCTTTTATGCAAATTGCTTGCATTTTAAAATCAAAAATACTGTAATATTCAAAAAATCCATATAAGAGATTATGTAAAGAATCATTATTATAATTTATAGAATTTTTCCAGTCAGAATACCAATTTTTTTTTGACTTTTCTGTAAATATAAAATTTAATATAATAAATATATAAAATTCTTTTAATATTTATACTTACTTATGTAATATTTTATTATATTTAAAGAAGGTAATATATTTTTTATTTGTAAATAAAATATAATTAACAAAGTAAGGGAAAAATTCGTGATCCAATGCCCTGAAATTTCCTTTGTTATATCCATATTTCTTGCCCATTTACGAATAGTGCAAATAAGTGGTTTAACACGCGAATCCATTTCTCCATATCCATATAACAATTCAGACATATGTAGCGCAACCCTGTATATATTTTATACAGTTTCAAAAGCAATCATACATTTTATAAAGATAAGAAATATTTACTACATACACGTTTGTGCTACTAAGATCACAATGCATATTTGTATTTTGGTTAAAAAATTTAATTATTGGAACTCGTGCTTCAAGAATTTTTTTTAAATCATTAATACCAGGAATACAAATTTTTATTACTGTGCCTATTGCATCCAAGAATTCTTTCTGTTCATTTCTTTCTGTAAGATGGACAGGTTGTGTCATGTACAAAAATTTTTTTGAAGACTGAAAGAAAATTTCAATTTCTATAAAATTAAAACAAAATTAAATCATTATAAAATTATATGTTTATACTTACATTATTTACGTCAGAGACACATGTTTTACATAATAAATCAAGATCACATCCTATTTGACCAAAACCATTAACAGAAGATCCAAATGGTATGACATCTATATTAGTAAATAATCTAGATAAATAATAAGAAATTTGTTCAGCAGTAAAAAATCTCAGCCTTGTATCTAAATCTGTAATTTTTAATATATTGTAAAGAGAAATCATTTGTTCCGATATCTAAAAACATTAATTAATTAAATATTATACATATTATATATAACTTTTAATATATATTATTATATTCAATTTATAATTAGTTTTATATATTACAGAGTTTTTACATCCTAATATTTCTTTAACTTGATTGGAATTAGGAGGTTTAAATATTGTTGAATTTTTTAATGACATATTTGTTAAATTTTTAGTTTTATACAAAAATAATGGTGTAACAGAATGAGCATACTCTGAATTTATTTTACATGAAGCTAAATTTCTAAAAATTTCCACATCTTTCTCTGCTTTTAATTCTATTAATAGAAAACACTAAAAAAATTATAATATATATAATTATTCAAATATATATTTAACATTGTCAATCTTCAAATTAAAACAAGTATAAAATAAAAATCACAGAAGATACTTACTCTATCATTTATTGTATTATAAAAGAACATTTTTTCAATATTCACATATTTTGTACAAAATTTTTCCAAATCATTAACATAATTTTCTGCTACCCTTACTAAAATAGATTTTTTTGCTTGAGTTTGTCTAAATTTAAGCATTTGTTCAAATGTCATATTTCCACCTATAAAATTTTTTATTTTTAATTTACTTTTGATCTTTTAACACATTTAATACATTAACATTTTTAAACAATATTTTTTATAATAATGTTGTTTTATAATAATACTTGTTATTAAACTTAAATTATTTAACTAAAAAAGATTAGTTATTCTATTTGATATTTTAAATTATTTATAATCTTTTATTGTATAATATATATCTGTTAATCGTACTATATATTCAATGTTAAAATTTCAATTAGATGATATTAATAAATTCATAAAAGTAAATAAATAAAACATAAGATAAATTAATAAAAAATAAATAAAACATAAAATTCTAACCTATAATAAATTTAATGGAATGATTATAAGTCATTAAAATAAAAATTTAAAAAATTATATTAATAAATTAATCATGGAATAAAAAAAATTTATTATTGAAAGTGTAATCATTTATATAAATGAGGTTATGAACTAGAAATATAATTTTTTAAAACTGGTATTTTAAAAGCAAGCATTACCATACTTGATATCTGCCTGATTTTTAACATTATATTCTGTTTTACACCTTTTTATGTTTACTATACATTTACAATAAAATGAATTTAATATAAATCCAAAATTTATATTAATTCGATGTACAAGCGCCATTTCTATATGATATACTCTAGCGTCAAGCACGTGGAATTTGATCTGGATACATGCATACTTACAATCGATAAAGTAAGTATTTACACTTATATATTTTTGGATTTATACAATAGTAATCATACTATTACATAATTAAAAATAGTAAAAATATTAAGTATTAATTTATTTAATAAATTTCAATTTAATTATTAAAATTTAAGATTTAATTATTTGCAATCAAACGAAATATACGATTACTCATTTGAATTATCGATATGAATATAATTTTTTATAATTAACATACTAACATAATACTTATTATAAAATAATATCAAAAATTTTGATATTAAAAATTAATCTTAATTCATTTTTAAACTTTTTATCATAAATTTGACATTTTTTTGAAAAATATATGTTATATATTATAAAAATATTAAAATTTATATGAATATAATCAAGATCTATTACATACATTATGTCATAATATTAAAAATTTTTATAACATATACAAGAATATTATATTGTATCTTGAACTTGAAAAAGTTTTAAAATTCTACATCCCTTGAAAGGAGTGCAGTATAGTATCTAAGCCAGGCGATGACGTAAGCGCAGACTATCTTTTTGTATCATTTCGATACATGCAAACATTTTTTTTCTTTAATAAATATTTTACCAGTTCCAAGAAATATTAATTTTGTATTGTAATTTTCTAAATTTAAAGAAATTCTTAAAAATAAAAGAAAAAGAGTTTGAAAGTTTATCGTAAATTTTTTAGGATATATATATATATTTTCGATTTAAAAATTTTAAAATCTAAATATGAAGAAAAGAAAATATCATAAAAATAAAATTAAAAATATTTTTACATTAAAAACGAAATTTTAATAGATAAGAAATAAGCATCACACAAGTTATTTTTATACTAAAATTTCATTTGTAAAATGGTTAAATTCGTCATTCAACGATCAAGAAACAAAGACAAACGCTCTAGTGTCGCACTCTATCGGTTGATCGTTCAAATATTATGCAGATCGCTACAAGTTCTTTTTCTCCGTTTCATCTTTATATATTCTCTCGTATTTTTCTTTAATTCATCATTCGTTCTTTCTTTTCTCACAAAAGAGAATTTTAAAAGCAATCCTGCGTTATTTCCTTCTATTATCTTCAAATTTATTAATTTTACCGTTCTTCTTTTCTTCCATAACGAAAACCATCTATCTCTGTTTCTTCACTTCATAACGCGTATCATTGCTTCTCTCTACAATTCTCCCTCTCTTTTACTTCTCTGGTCAGCTCTTCGTTAGTTCGTCCTGCGAGGGGAATACAGAGGTAACAGGGACCGTGTACAGGGGACGAAGTCAGTACAGTCTCGAGCCTCGCGTCGATCACAACGGATTTTATTATTTCTCGACTCTCTCCATGCTCGACTGCCTCTTTCCAGAATAACGAACCGCCGGCAGGTGTGTGGTGCAGTGGCGATAATAAAACACGTGAAAATAATCTTTTTGGCTAGAGGAACGTGGAAACGTTTTATTCGAAAGAAATCGATCTATTCCGCAAAAATTAATACCGTGGAATCAATGATAATAAAATAATTATTAAAGATATCCGTTTAACCAGAAGTAAATTTGAGGAGAGAATATAATAACTCTATCTCGCGATAAAAAATATCTAAATGACAGGAATCGGTTGCGTCAATCATATTAATCTCACAAGAGTACGATGATGATTGTTTTATCTCTATGACGAGCACGAGATGAATCTTAGAGATTTTAGAATCTCGTAAATGATCGAGAAGAATTATTATCGAAGTATCATCCACATTTTGGGGATGTCGACTTGCGCGAGATGGACTTTATGGCCGGCAAGAACGCGTTTTCGACGCTATCTGACGAGTATCGCGTGCTACCGGAAGTGTTGATGATGAACGAGCCGGATCCACGAGGTAGATCGAACTGGTGATTTCAAAACGAATTCCGGTGCTTCTTGAAAAGTGATATTTTTGACTTTTCATTTATCGTTTCCCTTTCTCGTTTACGTTTGACTCGTTCTTTCGTAAGAACAGTGAAAAAGATTTATTTTTGTCCTTATTTTTGTCGAAATCATAAAAAAAGATCGGATATCTCGGCATCGTCTCGATAATTGAACAATTTTTTGGTAGAAGACGGGTGATCAGACAGGTGAGATATTTTCGCAAACAATTTTTTTACTCTTACATTCTTTGTTCTCTTTCATAATTTTGGATATTTGTAAGATATACTTTGCAGTTTTTTATAAAATAAAAATATAGCATGATATATGAAACGATTAACGAAAATGATACATTTACTCGATTTATTGCCTTCATTCGCCCGATCAATTCATTATATCAAAAGTTGTAACTCGTAGATTAAAGCCTATTAAACAATCGTTTCGGTTTTACGTTTTTAATCGCGTTGACACCAAGATGGCGCAATATCTCGTTGCAAAGACTACGAAGACCACGTTGGCGGACATTCAAGGGCGCAGAAGGCGCCTGGAACGAGTTCTTGGCGAGGCTATTGTCAAAACGGATTTGATAAAAAATAAGAACGAGATAAAAAATTCATTACTTACGTCACCGCATCGTCCGACCATAAATTTTCGTTCTAAATTTGGTTCTCCATTCTCAAGGTCGTCGAAAGCGAACACGCGCACATTTCACAATGATTTTGTCACTGCTTATTTATCATTTCCCTTATCCCCACTGAAATTTATTTATCTTCAAAGTGATATTATTTTTCATTACGTATTATACGCATCATAGTTGATCTAAATTCTTAATCATTCCCAACTCTCAAAATTTAAATAAACAAAATTTTAATAACCTCTCACAATCTTCGTTCAATCTTCGATAAATCATGATCTCTAAATTCTGAATTTTTCACGAAATCGTATCGAAATTTTTATCGCCTACATCTATATATCTAAAAATCAAAAAATACCTATATATTTGAAAAATATCCTTCACATCTGGATAGATCTGGACACCGATATATAAGTCCAAATTGTATAATTCTTGTTGTACAAGGGAGATATATTTGAAAAAAAAAAAAAATGAATAGGCAGAGGGGTGTAACGCGAGAGTGGGTGACAGCTGGGCGAACAGCGTGGAAGCAATCGTTTCCTTTCTCGAGCGCACTTGCGGAGAC